GAGATACAGTGCTCTATAGCAGTCACCACAAGAAAAATGCTCTGTGGAAACACCCAGGGCTCATGCAGACAAAGCATGACAGTCTAAAATTTGAAAATGCTAAGCCACGTGCTTTTTTTGTAATATGGTCATGTATTAAAAGCAAGGAAAAAAAGATAACATACACACACACACACGTAATCCTTGATCCTTGCACACCAATTCTGAAAGACAGAAGGTCTCTATGCACTGAAGACCAGACAATTTGAAAGTTGACAATTCTATTGAGAATTTTCAATGCAGAAAGAGGCGGAAGGAAAGATTCAGTATATTCTTAATCTCAAAGGAACACCCAAGTATGGCTAAGGCAGAAATTGTACCTCAATTCAAACTACATTTTCCTTCCTACATACATTTACCATTTCTGTCTTCCTTGCTCATACTTTCTATAGCTTGCATGCTTTGTACTGTTTATTTTTCATTCATATGTAAGCCCTCTACAGTCTCCTGCCTGACTCTTATTTTGAATATACTCTCATGTAGCAGCTACTCATGAAAAGCCCTGTAACACATTCACTTGGTATTCCCTATAGATGAAAAACAGCCTTAGTAAAGAAAACTCAGTTATAAGCTGTTTAGTAAGAATTCTTTTTAAGAAGCCACTGTATTCATTACAAAAATAGCATGACTCCTAAGAAACAAGTAGTGTCGATTCATTTGAAACTCCTATTCTGCCAGCCTATGGGTGTCGCACATGAGATTCTGCTACATTAAATCCAGTCAGTTGTTCTCTGTGATTTTCCATTCATGTATCAAATTAAACGCTCTTGAGTCTAATGCACTTTGCCTTCAATTAAAACCATGAGTTATAAATTTCATATTCAGGTCAACAACCTTGCAGGAGGTCAAACATAGAGACCAAAAACTGACAAATGGACAGTCACCTAAAGCAAAGAGAACTGAATTGCCTTGAGATGCTCAGTGAGATTTTCCTTCTTGAGTTGTCAAAACTAAAGTACCAGAGGAGCTGCAGACTAAATTTAGACTCTCCAGGGCTGCATCCATCCATAACCTGGCCTTTTTGGCACATCACTACTACAGCAGGCATTCAGAAAGCTCAGGGGACACTGCACTTCGCTCGGCCTAGTTAGCAGAGACAAAAACACATGTAAGACTCCCAAAGAATACAAATATTCTATGACTAAGCCAGCCTCTTTCTTTGCTGCTCCTCATCCTAGCAGCTCTGTTCCTGCAACTGGGAAATAGACTGGTATTGCTACCACATACGTAATATCAAAGCTACTTCTACTTGGTAATGAGAAAAGGAAGGTCTGATTGCTCTTTCTATCTTTATTACAAACTGTCATATTAAGCTTTAGGTTTGCTCTGAATAAAGCCTTTAGTGAAGGCAGAATGCCACATTATTCCTTCTTGCTTAAGCTGAGAATGTAAAAAATTATTGCTAAGTTGGTTGCAGAAGGTAGTCACTCATGAGGTCTCTCAGTGAGATGCTGAATACAAGTGTATGCCACATCTTTGGAGCTCTTGCCTCCTAAAAGTAACACCTTTTGAGTTTTTCATTCTGACTTAACATTCTTCCTTCCCTCCCCCGCTTTTTTTGGCCTCACATGTAGCTTTTTCTGGCCTTTCAATTGCTCCTTATTAAGAAAAATTAACAAAAACTGAATGGTCATATAAAAGCATGACAAATCTTACTGTTTTTTTCTAAAAAAAAGAAAAAAAGAAAAAAAGAAAATAAACTGTCCATACGATTTTAGAGTAGGTTATAAAAATTCAGTTACAGTGGCTCTGCAGCTTCCTGGTAATGCTGTGAAATGCTTCATAGTTGTAAAGAGTTTCCCACATATTCCTTCTCTTTGAAGTTCTGGAGAAATGCTCATATTTTATGGAAACTAACATTAAGCTGCATGAAAGCTGCCAGTTCTTCAAGGGACATCTGCCAAAGGAATGCCAGAATGAAGGAGTTAGACTGGCTGCTCCCTAACTACGGTCAGTACCATGCCTGCTGGTGCTTTGCCTCTTAGTTGGCAGCTCATCTAATCCTACTGTTCCCCTAGCTTCCACCCTGTAAACTGCACTAGAAGTACACTAAATAAACTGTATGTACATTAAATAAACTTTTCTGAGTTTGCATGGTAAGCTATATTAAATACAGAAAGATTCCCAAAGCCTCTTGTCCACCTATCTTCAATCCCTAC